ATATATATATATATATATATATATATAACCTGTGGCCAGCACACAACCCTGCAGAAGTCTTTGTCTGTCTGGATGAAAACTCTCTGGCGTGGACAGGGCAGAGGCTTTTATGAATACAAAACATCTTCCCTTCTATTTTTAGAAGCAGACGAGGCATTGCTAAAAATAACCAGAATATTTTTGCCAGTCAAGCTATTTATACTCGAGTTGAGGCGTTCCTGGGCTTCTGGGTTCTTTTCTTAGCTCATTATGTAATAAACCCAACGCAGCGATGCAGAATCAGCGTAATTACTCTGTCAGCCAATTAAGACTTTGTAATAAAATGATAATGAGGCAGATTTTTACAGGTTTAGAAATGCTGATGTTTGTGTAGATGTGTGGCTGATGTTGCAGAAACAGGGCTGGATTCTCTACAGGGTTTTACGGCCCAAAGGTCAGATTGTCAGCTCGCTGTAAGCCCGCTTGGTTGAAAGGGAGGTAAAGTAATGAGTTAGTCCACAGGGATCTGGGCTGTCTTGAACATGCAGAAGTAACAACGTTAAAGAGAGGCAAATAAATAATAATAATAATTCAGGAGAAACGTGTAACTATTGTGACAGATAACACTGACTGCTTGTGCTTGTGTTGTGAGAAACAAGCCAGCCGAGCCTGCGTGCCCAGTCTGTGCATCTGTAATGTCACACAGACGTACAGATCTATCAAGGCCAGATTGGCAAAAACCAAGAGCGGGAATGTGACAGTGCCAGGGAGCATTTTCTGGAGACGTGGCTCTGTTTCTGAGCTTATGTAATCTTAACACAGATCAGTGTAAACGCCTGAATGCATATTTCTACTAAGCCGATGTGAGAGGAAGTTTTGGTCAACAAGGCAGCTTAATAAAAAATAACAACTGAGTTTCGAGTCTATTTTATGAGACTGAGATGTGTTTTTTTTATCCAAACTCACCTAATCTCTTGTTACTGCCTAAAAAGTGAAAGGGCAATAATGTTTTTGCCTGTGTGTGTTCATGTGTCTGTTATTAAAATACCTCATGAATCATTGGACAGATTTTAAAGAAACTGACGGAAAATGGACATTTACAAAAAACCTTCAGAGCCAACTCAATTCAGCATGGCACACTGACTTCAACAAACACAAACATGTCTATAATTCAGCTAAAATGTGCTGTTTTAGTAGCTGAGTCATTTCAGACACATATTCCGAGTGCTACTTATTGCATAAGGTCTTTGCTTAAAATTCTAGCATCAACTATAGAAGTCAACCCCATTTATCCATCACTCAAAAAACAGATGTGTTGGATTTACTTAACCAAGTTATGTCAACTGGTTCCACTGTAAACTTGAGTGAAACCAGTTGACATAACTTGGTTAAGTAAATCCAACACATCTCTTCTTTGAGTGCATTAGCATCTCATGAACCAAAGGACAGGGTTTTTGTAGTCGAAGTAGTTGTTCCATCATTTTTTTCTACAAAAGCTCAAACATGTCAGTTTTTGTAGTGTGTAAGGACAAAAATACAGTTAGCATTTTATTAAAAAAGGACTTTATTGATCCACAATGTGGAAATAATTTCTCTTCTTTGTTCCCATCACACATTTAGTGTGCCCAGGGAGCAGCTGGGGGATTCAGGCCTTGCTCTAGTGCCCAGAGGGTGGCAAATGAGGGTTTTCCACCCACATTTTTGAATCTATGTAATGAAGGTATCATTCTGGAATGATGTAGTGAAGAAGGAATCAAGATGGAAGGGAAAGCTCTCATTTTTTTGATCTAACTCTCACATATGGCCACGAGATCTGTTTCATGTCTGAAAGAACAAGACTGCAGATACAAGTGTGCTTCCTCTGAAGCGTGGCCAGCCTCATCTTTAGAAATAAAGTGATGAGTTCTGTCATTGGTGCAGCTTGGATCTCTACCAATGCTCCTCTGTATCAAAACGAATCAGCTGAGTTGGTTTAGACCCTATAGGGTTTTGGAAATGTCCCACTGACGGGAGAACCCAGAAGTAGGGATTATATTGTGGATCATCTCTGGCCACATTACAGAATCTCCCAGGAAGAGCTAGAACATGTCCCTGGGGAGAGAGATGTCTGGATTTATTTTCTAAACCTGTGACTTTTGAAGTACTCTAACTATATAGCTGGAATATTATGAATTTTATTAGACACAATTGTGTATATTTGAGCCCTATTTAACCATAAGATTATTTCTGAAAATATATATTTTTATCAGCATACTGGTGAAATTATTCTTTAGCAAAATCATTTTTAGTAGTATTGTAATCTAAGGAACTCCCATCTAGGATTTTTCAACTCAGATTTGATAGCTTCATCTGTTTATTTGCTTTTATTTTTTTTAGATATGTATTGAAACAGATTGTGCTCCATCATGAAGCAACAGACAGTTGTTTTCAGGAGGTTCAGCACCCACAGCATCTTCCTATATTGAAAGATGTCAGAGACAAGTGGGAGAATAAAACCAGTAAAATTTTTATCAAATATTACTCCACTGGGATGTTGCTGTACGTACATTTTTCCAACACATATACCAGCTTGAGCATCTGAGGGCCTTGGTGTTTTTTTAATCCCGTGGGACAAAATTCCCAGAAACACTGTCACCGGCTGGTGCAAATCTCCCAAGCATTACTGCCAGGATGTTGCCAAAAGAAATAAAATAGGATGCTTTTTAAGCAATGTTAATCTCACTGAGCCAATCAGTTCATCCTTTTAGTCTCACAGCTGCGTCAAAGAGCATCCGCGGACTAAATCAGAGAGTTCAATCACACGTCTAAATCAGAAGCAAGCGATCAAACTGTCCTTCTCTTGCTCTGCTCTCATTATGTCTTCTTCCTGCACGCTGAGTTATTGTCACGGACAAAACAGGATGAGAGAAACTGGATAGAATTACAGCTCTGATAAAGGAGCAGCCAAAAAAGCAGAGAGCCGATCTTCTGTTTTTGTTTTTCCTCAGCGGAGTAGCTCACTGTGGACTGACCCCTGCTTGCCTCTGTCATCTGACCAGGAGACTGGACTGAGGGGAGCGTCACGTGACGGACACGCTCAGTTGACCAACATGTAAAGTGAAACAGCTCACAGCCTCGCAAACGTCACAGCACCGAGATGAAACGAGCACAGATCCGCTGTCTTTCACTCTCCACTCGCTTTATTAAGCATAAAAAAAGACATTAAATCAACAGATCCAGGAGATCGATTATGTTTGGTGAATTCAACATCACATCGACGCTACGTGTAAAACGAGACGAGCAAGTGAGCAATAAATAATTAATGGTCAATTTTGCGGTGGGCCTCTGAAATATTGAGAGACAGCTCAGGCATGAAATGCAATGTAAATGGATCTATTTTTAGAGCAGCAGAGGAAGTCATGTGGATTGGGCTGTTGGGGGGGGGGGTGCCTCGCCTGTGTAGCTTTCAGAGGCAAATGACAGGGGACAAGAAAACACACACATACACACTCCGCCCACATTTGCATGTAAAGCCACTTTTTACGGGCAACATGAAACTTTTAGACGCACACAGACAGAGAAGCAATAAATAATTTCCACATGGAAAAAGATGGAAAAGTCCCAGCTCCTGTGCCGATTAACCCCCCCACACACACCCCTCCTCTCACGTTGTCTCGTGGGATTGTTTGCGAGTGAAAGGGAGGGGAAGTGACATGTTAAAACCTCTTTTTATTAATTCTGAGAAGACGGAGGGTTTGGCGGGGTGTCACAGCAGCTGAGGGGAGCAGGGAGGCTGAGTGATCCGCAGTCTGACACCGAGCAGCGGATTCCTTCATGAATAATACAAAAAAAAAACACCCCAGATTCTCTGCAAACACTAATGAAACATGAGTT